CAGCAGATCTCACCAAAAATGTCTTGTGGGATTTCAGGTGAAGTCTGGGCCCACGAGGCAGCCCCAGGAAGCTTGAAGTTCGTGGGCGACTGGGGTGAGCCTCTGCTGATGTGCACAAGCGTGTGAGCATGTGTGTGAGTGTGCAGGCATCTGATCTCCAACCACTCTTCACAGCCACTGTTCCCAGTGGAACACCCAAGTGCTGCCCAGTGCCTCTCCCACCTGCCAAAGGGATACCCCCCTCTGGGGTCTCCCCACACAGTCTATCTTGTCATAAAGACCATCTCCTGCTTTGTTGTGTGGTTAGGTACACCTGTCTTACCTGCCCCATCTAACAGAAAGCCCTCCAAGGACAACACAGGATCCAGTCTGGCTTCGTGTTCCCGCAGCAGCTGGCACATAGTACATGCTCCTGCAATATCCATTGAAAGGGGTGAATGAGACCAGCACTCAGCTCCAGTGCCCCCCAGCTCTCCCTACGTTTCTGCCCTCAGTTCCACGGAGCACCTGCTCAGGTGGTCCGGGGTGGGCTTAGGCTTTGGCGAGGGTGACCCCACCTGCCACTCCACACAAAGTCAGTGGCCCCTGGGTACCTATGAGGTAGCATCACAGGATGACTGAGGCCAGCCTGGGAGCTGGAGGGGCTGGTCCCTGGTGACTGCACGATGCATTCAGCCTGCACCAGGCCTCAGTTTCTCCCCTGGGGCACGAGAAAGCAGCACCCTCCACCCACTTCACAGAGGTTCTAAGATGACAGCAAGGACAGCTATTGAAAAGCTCTAAATAATGTCAAATACTGAGTAATGTCACTGTAAAGATAGGTCTCATGTTTTGGGTGTGAAATAAAATGACGTTTCAGTGTCCTACAAATAAGTTACTGAAAATGAATTTGCAGTAAAACTCAAAAGAGGAAAAGGGGAAAAGCATCTGAGCCGATGGTTGACTCTGTTCTTGGTGTGCAGATGAAGCCACGGACTTGGCATTAGCAGATCAGGCAAAACAGATGGGACTTGCCCGGTGAAGGCTCTGTTCCCACCCAGGTCACCAGATATCCTGGGGACTGGCCCCAGACTGCAGCAGCAGGAGACGCTCTCCAGCACCCTGCAGCTGGGCATGGGGCTTGTCGGAGCACGCAGCTAGCACTTCTTTTCTTGCTTCCATTTTGCTAGCAGCCACCTGATTTTAGAGATTGCTAGAAGTACATGTCCACCCGTCCTCACCAGTCCTCTGTCCCAGAGAAGGGGCTGGGTTTGATTTGCACAGAGGATCACGGCTCCCTTTCTCTGGGTCTGATTTTCAGGCCGGTGGACTTTTACAGGCGTTGCCTTGCCTGTGGTCCCTTCGCTAGTCTTTGGCTATTTTACTGGATGCTACTTTCTGTAAGGGAGGGTAGGTTAGACGGGGAGGGGGGAATTAAAATTCAACCAATTTTGTCTGATAGCAGATTTGATACGTGCTTTGGTAGTGCAAAAGTTAGCATTTAACTAATTTTTATTAAATTTATGTTTTTCCTTTCTCTGTCAGAGATTTTCAAAATCGCCTGTGTATCAGAGAACAGAATATAAAATTTCTATTTTGTCAGTTTTATCCATTTCATCCACATCATTCAAAAACAGAAGTCTCCAGCAGATGGCACCCAAGTTCATCTTTTCTCCACCTTCCTGTGCCTTGGGTCAAGGTCAGCACAGGCTGCTCTCCAGAAAATGAAGTTTTTTCATCAGCACAGACCAACACTAGTTAAGATCCATAGCAAGGGCTGGCCGGTTAGCTCGGTTGGTTAGAGCATGGTGTTCTAACACCGAGGTCAAAGGTTCGATCCCCACCTGGTAAAAAAAAAAAAAAAAAAAAAAAAAATCCATAGGAGGCAATTCCAGTAAAATGTCTAGGAGAAAAAAATAGCCCCAAGAATTATAACCCTGAGTAGTAGAACCAGCAGCCAGGTTTCCAGGTTTTCAAGTCATTTATGGATTTTGTACCAGTTCAGTTTGAAGAAATGGCCCAGCAGGCCTGATGTTGAGCCTCAGCTTCTGGGTCTCACCTCGGTCCCTCCCATGAACCCTTAAGGAAGCAAAACCCCAGATGTTTTGGGAAACCGTGAGGTGCTGGAACCCTGGGACAGGAGGAAGGCTCTAAGCTTGGTGAGATCCTGAGATCCCCAAGTCCTCCCTTCCCTTGATAGACTCATGACTCTGCCCCAGGCCACCATCAGGACACATGTGGAGGAGGAAAGGGAAGTGGTAGAGGTGACAGGGCTGTCTCAAGTCCAGGGAAGAGGGCTGACGGGGGAGGAGATCAAAGACAATGGAAAACCTAAATAGCAAGCCCAGGGCCAATATCCACGTCCAGCCTAAATGCCTGTGCATTGCCGTCTCTGTGCCTGGCATTGTGCGAAAAGAGAAAACAGGTACAGTCCCTGGCTTCCGGACTTAATGATTAGGTGGCGAGAAAGCTGATTCCATCCAAGGGGTGCTGGAGCCAGCTGCCTCCAGGAGCTGACTGTGCGCATCTCTGCATCTGATCACATCACGTCACTGGTTCCTAATCGGCTGTGGTAGGAGTATTTGCACCAGAGAAATCAGCCAACTCTACACATCAGGGCTGCCCCCACTTCCCAGAGCTAAATGTTAGACATTTACCAGCACGCTGCTGATTCTGTCCCACCACAATGCATGCTGCTTAAACTAAGGTGGGGCAGGACATTGTCCCAGTCAGGAAGCAATGGAAAGGGGCGTGGATTTGGGTCCGAGGTCAAACTCTCCCTCTGACTATCTATCTGACTCCGACTATTTCAGCCTCAGCTTCTGCCTCCCTTTAATGGGACTAATGGTCTTTACCCTACTTATTTACAGAAGGTTTGGGAGTCTCTAAGGAGATGGGTTTGTGCAAATGCTACGTAAATCAGTATGGATTTCACCAAGGTAACAGAGGCAACCTGTAAAATCTCTAAAATGATAAGAATGAGGTCTACCTAATCTCAGTTTTTATCAGGAATACATAAAATAATGCATATTTGTTTATTTTTCCTTTTATTTACTAATGTGTATTGATGTTTCCTACATACTAGATGTTTCCTACGCTAGCCGGGCAGTCATAAGAGAAGATGTAAAAACACTTTGTAGATTACAAAGCTTTTAGGCAACGGGTCCTTTGTCAAATGGGAGGGATCATTCAAGGAAAGATGTTATTTTTTCTCAACCTCTTTCATCTCTTCCAATCCAGACACACTCACATGTGCATTACAACCCACCCTGCAACTAATGTTATACCCTGATGCCTACATTTAGATGAGGACACAAAGCAGCCATCGAAACAATGGCACTGACATAAAAACCAAGACAAAAGGTAATAAAACCTGTACAGCATAATCTACATGTGTGTATATATGAATTTGGGAGAATACACATTACAGATATTCACAGTGGCTGTCTCTAGGTGGTAAGATTGATGATTTTAATTTCCCTTTCTTGCTGTCTTTTTTTTTTTTTTTTACAAAAATTACCTCTGACATTTTTGAGATAAAAATGAAAAAAATAGAAGATCTTCTTTCAGCTATTTATTTTATAGAGTCATAAATTTGGATTTGAAAGGGGCCCAGAGGTCAGCTAGTTTCATAAGATGGGGAAACTGAGGCCCATGGAGATGAAGTAACTGGGCAAGTTAGGCATTTCTAAGTTTGGCATTATCTTTTCTCTCTTTCCAAATGATTTTGCAAAGCTTTTGATTATTAGTCTAAACCTATCTGCTCTGTAATTAGATTCTCATCTTTAATAATCTTTCTGACTCTTTGATGTATCTACTTACTCTAGTATCATAATTTTTCTTTGCTTGTCTCTAATTTTTCTTTTAAACATTCAGCTGGCTGCTTGGTTTCTTTGGCTTTTCTCCTTGAAAGACTCCTGAAATAAATTAGCATTTTTCCTAATTGGTGGCCTCTTTAATTATATTCTACTTGTTTTTGCCTTTTCGTCTCTACAACTAATTGCCCAGAAATTTCCAAGGGTGAATCATAATTCCTAAGGCATCATTCCTGTATCGCATTTATTTGTCTTTATTTGATGTANCAAGTTAGGCATTTCTAAGTTTGGCATTATCTTTTCTCTCTTTCCAAATGATTTTGCAAAGATTATTAGTCTAAACCTATATGCTCTGTAATTAGATTCTCATCTTTAATAATCTTTCTGACTCTTTGATGTATCTACTTACTCTAGTATCATAATTTTTCTTTGCCTTGTCTCTAATTTTTCTTTTAAACATTCAGCTGGCTGCTTGGTTTCTTTGGCTTTTCTCCTTGAAAGACTCCTGAAATAAATTAGCATTTTTCCTAATTGGTGGCCTCTTTAGTTATATTCTACTTGTTTTTGCCTTTTCGTCTCTACAACTAATTGCCCAGAAATTTCCAAGGGTGAATCATAATTCCTAAGGCATCATTCCTGTATCACATTTATTTGTCTTTATTTGATGTAGACTATGGCCAGAGTTATTCATACACGTGCACAGTATTATTTAACGCAAAGGCTTCTTCCCCTCTGGCCTTCAGTGTTTCCTTCTGCCAAGCAGATATTCTCCCAACTCCCCTGATGAGTGTCTCTTGTTGAAAGCCTCTTGGGGAATCTGAAGCCCTTTCTGCTTCCACAGCTCAGGTACCTGACTGCTGAGACTGCACATGAATGGATTCAGGGTCAGAGAGAAGCCAAAGTATCAAAGCCACTTCCCAAGATGCAGAGATTTGGGCTACACAGGGGAGGGTCCAGAGAGTCAGAGCAAGATGTGAGAGTGAGTGGATTTGCCTCCCTGTTTTGATAAAACCTCTTCTGTCACCCTGCCTGGGCAATCTGTAGGTAGTTTGCTCTTTAGCTGTGGCCCCCTAGAAGAGTTTTCAATCATGAGGCTTAACACAAACACACACACACACACACTGAATGGATTGATATAACCTTCCAGATTCTTCTCTGAGAGTCTAGAATAGCGCTGTTCTAGAAAAATATAATGCAAGCCACAAAGATGAGCCACATATTTAATTTAAAAATTTTTTAGGAGCCTCATTTTAAAAAGTAAAAAGAAACACGACAGTAATTTTAATCATGGAATCAATATTAAAAATTATTATAGAGATATTATACATTCTTTCATTCCTCCTAAGTCTTTGAAATCCAGTATGTGTTTCCCACTGAGAGCACACCTCAATTTGGCCACATATCAGGTGTTCAGTAGCTGCACATGGCTTTGGGCTTCTCCTTGGAGAACACAAGTCCAGGTTCCCGGATGAGTTGCCAAAGTTCACAAGAGGGAGAGAAGCATAGAATCATGCCTGGTAACTCTTTTCTTTTTCTACTGTGGTAAAATATATATAACATAAGGATTGCCATTTTAAA